TCGTCCTTTGCGTATCAAGGCTCCGAATTAATTTTTTAATTAGAATTGCTGCGCTTCGCGCGCGTTCCGTTGCATTTTTCTGATATCTTTCTCGAGTCTGCGGTAACCCGACAGTTATTACCGGCTATACCCTTGCGACGTCTAAAACGATTCTTGAATCGCTTGTCAAATTTTCGATCGGCAGTAGCTTTTTACTCGTACGAATTAATTCCTAATTCCTTTATTGATTGCATATGGAATAAATTAAATAAAATTCACGCAAGAAGCTTAACGAATGTTAAAGCATTATTTTACTATAATTTTAATAACGTTAAAACGTTCTTTCACACACACAGCCGTGCGAGCGTCTCGTTAAAAATGTAAAATCAATAAAATTAATCAAAATGAATTAAATTGGAAAGAATTAAGAGGCATCGGACATAAAACGAAAAGGTCGGATAATTATAAATTTCTAACAATTCTGGCAATTAGAATTTAATGTTGCGAAGCGGATGCTTGTCGATCCTTCCGAATTTTCCTACTTCGAGTCGAGAATGTAGTCGTCCTCGCGCTGAGAAACGAGCGAGTCGCGCCGAGAGCTCGCCGCCCGGCGTGGTTCGTGTTCCGGCCAGCGCGATAACGAGCTGCACGATGCACCGTACGTTCCGAGGTGCCAAGCGGTCTACCGGTGCAAGACTCGAGCAAAAACTAGTCCAGCTTATACCAGCCCCGGACACGCCCCAGCGGCTTCTCCCGCTGTAGTTTCTTCCTTTTGCCAACGCCGGCGATTTCCCATCCCGAACGAGTGGTTCGATTTTTCGTTCACCACGAAAGGAAGCCGATCCCCCCGCCGGCAATGAGAAGAAAACCGGCGGCTTGATGCCAATGATCGTCGAGTTAGCGCGACCTACGTGCTTTCTAGACACGATCGAACCAGGGATGGCCTTGGGTCGAACCAGCGACGACCTTGGCACGTCGTATATGCTTATATAGACATGTTCCTTTATGGCAGAGATGAGATACATCTTTTTTTGCCGACGGTGCTGTATTAAATGCCGATTTATGTGTGAATTTCAAAAGAGCTTCCCAGAAAATCGCATTAACTTCTGTATATTTATTAAAATAAATTGTCTATAAAGTAAACAGACGATAAATAGATAGATAAATAGTTCTGAATATCGTATTGTCTAATCACAGGTAATCAAGAGATTCGTTCGATCGGATATGCTGATAAGATTTCGATCGCGTGGTATCTCTTTAATTATCACACGAGAGAAGCGCAAGCAGAAGTGTAAGAGCGCTTTAAAAGAACACGAGGGTTTCTAAGACTCCCGCGGAAGAAAAATCGAACTCGAATGACTACCGCCGCCGGCGGCCATCCGGCGGCCGATCCGCGCGGCCGAGTACTTATTAATTATCGCATAAATTGCGAGCGGCTGGAGGAGCGGACGATGCGAGCGAGGCCTGAGCTCGCACGCCGGATCGTACAATTTTCCACGGGCGGCGTTCGCGAAATCCGATTATCTCCGCGATGTTTCAGTAATTGAACGTGCGCCGCGAGCGGGGCGAGGCCAGCGCGCGACTTAAATGGTACGGAAAACCATCGTTATTCGATCTAAATCACGAGCAGAAAATTAGATAGCGGCGACCGCGGCCGGCATCTCGCCGTGTGCTCGCAGTAGAACCGGTCAGTTATCGGACAGGCGCGGCGAGGACGTGCCCGCGCGCGGTCGCTTTTTGCTCCTTGCGCGCTTAAATATACAAAAGGATCACTCGGCATAATGGCAACGGGAGGGAAAATCGCGGTGGGTGCAGATGATGAACACATACATACATGAGCACATAATACATACATACATACATACATAGGATGTTCGCTTTTAGTTCGCTGAAAACTATGGCAACCGCTGAACGAACCAGAGTGAACGTGTTGAGATTTTGAGTGGGCTTAGAATCGTTCAGCAGAGAATCATAAAACAGTTGCAAACTGTTGCATTCTGCTGAACGCAGCCAATGTTTGCATAGACTTAATTGCAGCGATATTTTATGCGGACGGAGAATCGTAGGGAAATTAGTACGCGAACGTTAATTGGGCGTTTATCTAACGTTTCTCCGTATTATAAATGAATCGCGTATCCGTAAGTGGTGAGACTGGCGCGTGGTCTTTTTCGAGACCTTCGAAGAGAAACGAAGAGGAGGCAAAACGAAGCGATCGACTGACGCGTCCATTAGGCTATCCAGTTCGCTATCGTCATTTTTGTTCGACTCGTTCAGGTTGCGGATAACACTTAACGGCTAACTTGGTGAGAATTATCGAGGAACGTCGTCGCGGCCGTTTCATAAATCAAATCTTGTTTTCGCTTTCCTAATTGGAGCTGCTAATTTGATACTACAGATATCGGAATAATACACGAGCGGCAGAAGAAGAGGAAGAAACACGGGATAGTCGGCAATCTTCATTGAAGATCGGCCGGCAAGCTGGCAAGCGGTCGCACGGCCATCATTGTCGGGAGAGGGAGGAAGCAAGAAGAAGAGAACACAAAAATCGATCGGGAGAGAAGCGGATTCGAATAGGAGACCGGGAATTCCATAGCGGTCGGGGGGGATTCAGTTAACGTTTAAATACTGCGCGATTTTTAATTCGATTTGCCGCACGAAAGTTCAAAACACAGCTCTCATAGGAAAAAAGAAAACAATTGAAAGAACTGAACAATTACATTTACGATACGGTGTTAGAATTTTATAGGTGTAATAAAGATTATTTCAAGTTTGTTTTGCGATTTCGGCCACGTTTTACCTTGAAATTTTCGCTCGTGGCGTTACCTGAGTAGCCCCTTAGGACCGCTATTACTACTTGGACCGAAGCTAGAAAAAAAAAAGAAGAAGAAACGCGGGTTAGCCTGAGAATGGCGTGTTGACGCAGTTCACGCGCGTGATTTCTTTTTTCGCAGAATCCTTTCATCTTCATCTAGACGTCTATAATTGTCGTGCCTCTCTTTAGCGCCGATTCTATCCCGCGCATGCATTATATGTCATCATCTCATCATAGGCTTCTCAGACATCTGCGGTCCTGTCTGCTCGCGTTTATTTTTGGGCGCCCTTCTCCCTCTCGCCCCCCCCCCCCTCATCGCTCGTAGATCTTTTTCTCGTTTTCGTGACACGTGCCGTCAAACCAGTTTCCTCCGGTTCCGAGAAAACCGGACCTTCTAATACGTCACACGCTTACTACAAAAGTGTGACGTATCTTACATACGCTCTCACGCCTTCGCCTCGTGGCGAACATGGTTTTTTTCGCGCTGTGGTCTCTCTTTTTTTTATCGTGCACATGCCTCGTCGCCAGCTGCTGAGTCACGATTATTTTCAGCGCTTTTTTTATTATCCTGGAAGAAGAAGACTTTCCTGCACCGTGCCCCACTTTGCTTGCGGCGCGACCGTGCAAAAATGCGACGGATCACGCGCCGCGCGATTCTTGACATTGTGAGACATA